TTATTATTATTGCCACTAAACGCGCCTGGCCTTAGCTCAACTATTAAGTGTACCTGATGCAACAAGAACGTCGAAGTTGAGGTTTAATTTGACTTTATCAAGACAATAGATCCTAAAATAACCAGGAGATCTGAAAGCGCAATTGATCATGTCGATACAGTCTGTACAGAACGGGGTGTCGGAAAATTGTAAAGATAGGAATTTCGCAATTTGCTTTGAATAGCATCAGCCACCCCCAAAAAGGACTCTTCCCCAGCCAGCAAGCTGGCAGCGGAAATCTCCAATTCGTCTGGCTCTGCATTAAAATTCATTTTCTCCGGCCACTCCAGCCGAAACTCTATCGGGGAAATCCCTAATTAACTAGTCCCCAATAAAACTTTTCTCAGATAGAGGATTAGGAAAGCGGCTTCGCAAAGCGGGGTCCCTGACGAGGGATATCCGGTAATTTTTTGAGCGGGTTTTAACGCAAGATTAAGCCTGTCTTTCGGGAAGGCACTTCCACAACATTAATTCGCGTAAAGTCAACTCGGAATTTTGGGGGTCAGGGTATGAAGGGGACAAATTTCAACTCGTCATTGACAGGAAACCCTGCTATATTCCCATAAGATACAATAGATAGTACTCTAAGAAATTGTTCAAGTTATACAGGGTGACTCACAAGTCGTGACCAAAAATTAAAAATCATACACAGGACCGCATTTTAAGCGGAGTCTTCTATGTAACATTTTCATCAAGGACTTCAATGAAAAGATATGGGATGTTGAAGTTAAAAAATAATGAACGATTTTCAAAATATCGTCAAAACCGTCAACTGGTATGTGGATTTACGTAAGTAATTTGCACCAGTGGCGGAGATACAGGGGATTAGTAGCATTACGTTCTTTTTTCGAGATGCGCAAGGTTTCGAATTAAAAAAAAATAAAACAAATTAGATAATCAATGCTCTATTTCAATAAATGTTCAAAAAGACCACCAGTATGATCGAAGTCATGTCCTACTTAAGCCACATTTGAGAATCCAAAGGTTTGAATGGAATTACTTCTTCTTACTTCCCACTTCATTTTTATTAAAATATTGTAATCGCTAGGGATTTCTAAAACGTTTTTTAAATGTTACATGTGATTAACACCGCAAAAAAATCATGTCACTCATTTTCGTCTGTCTATCTGTTCGCTAAATCCTTGACCTCGCTATAACTTTGACATTACCGGTCCGATATGGTTGAAATTTTGATACAGGAATAAATAAACTTTGTAGTTTTTGAATATCGAACCAGTAGTGGCGGACGTACAAGCAGAAACACAAAAAATAAAAACTGCCCAAACTTCATTTTTTGCCGTTTCAGGGGCTCATAATTCCCAAAAAATTGTAGGAGCTAAACATTGGGGCTGGGAGCTGTAGGGTGCGGGAGAGGATATATTTGATTGATTGTTTCCTTTTTCTGAGAAATGTATCATTTTAAGCTTTTCTCTTTTTGGTGGTCATTGTTGTGAACTGTGCTATTTAAATGTAGGTATACTTTATCTGAAGTCACTTGAAACACTGTGAAATACCGGGTGCGTTTTATATATCTATATTTAACACGCTCTGTTGCTGCAAAAATCGCCAAATTTCGTAGCAAATATCCCCCGTATAAGATCAAAGGCAGTTTCGCCGGTCCACGTGGAGTAAAGCACGCCTATGCGTGGACATAGCCAATGAGAAAGCGTGTATTTCAGAGCTCGGAACAAGTGCAAGTGGCTACTGAAAATTGAAACAGTTTAGCCAGTGCCGTGTAGCGGTGAATAAACGTGTTTTCTTTAGTTTGTCCGTGTTTTTTCATAGATTTTATTAGTTTGTGTGTTTTTGACTTTTGAATACTCGGTTTACTTGTTGATTTAATTATTGTGTTGATTGTTCTTGTGTGTCCTAAATATGGCTCTTTGGAGACCTTGGCAAAATGCTCCAAGCCACGAGGAGATGATTGATGAACCTGTGCAGGCAGAATTCTTTCATAAAGATTTAGAGGAACAGACCCAAAGAGTAATCCTAAATATGTATGATTGTCTGAAAAACGAAAATCCAGATTCCTCGCAAAATCAAATTTTAAACAGAATTTGTATCCTGACAAAAATCAGTCGGTCTACCATTTATCGGATTATAAAAAGGGGAGATGTAGTCAACCATTCCTTCCACAGAAAGCGCATAGGGCAAAAATTAAAAAGAATAGACGTGGGTTTTCAGGGAGATATTAGTCGTATAATATACGGATTTTATAAAGAAAATTTGGTGCCCACGTTGGAAATGATACGGGATAAATTAAAAGATTATCCTGAAGATTTTTATAATTACAAATGCTTAGACTCACTGCACTGTATTGTAAAACTGTGTGGTTTTAATGGTGATTATGGAGTCGTCTCGAATCGTTGAATTGCGCCAAGAATTTTTGCACAAAGTTAAAATCTATAGAGAGCAGAAAAGAAATCTGATTTACCTGGATGAAACGTGGTATGATACCCTTGATGTTGTGCAGTACGGCTGGGTTGACGACAGCAACAAGTGCATTTTAAATGCACCATGCAACCGTGGAAAACGAATCATTATTCTCCATGCTGGCAGTGAAAATGGATTTTTACCTAAAGCCTTGCTGTTATCTGCCAAAAATATCAAAGAATCATGTGCCGACTATCATGAGGACATGACCTCCGACTTATTTGAAAAGTGGATAGAGCAGCAGTTAATACCAAACATTTCCCCAAATTCAGTGATTATTATGGACAATGCGCCATACCATTCCCGACAGAAAAACAAAATTCCGAATACAGGCACAGAAAAACAAGACATTATTGATTTTATGAAGGATAAGGGAATGGAAATACCACAAAAATCAACCAAAGCCATATTATTGGGTCTTATTAAAAGACAAAAATTTGAAAAAGAGTATGTTGTTGACAATCTGCTTCAGCAAAATGGCCATGAAGTATTACGTCTACCTCCCCATTACTGCATTTTTAACCCGATTGAGTTGGTCTGGGCTGCTTTAAAAAAAAAGTAAGAAAACATAATCAGACCCCTCAATTAAGTGAATCGCTATTGGCCACAATAAGAGATGCAGTATCTCATATTGCTGCCACAGACCTATGGAAGCAGTGTTCTAGGCATATTATTGAAAAAGAAAATGAATATTGTGTTTTGCCTCCTGTAAATCCGCACGCCTATGGTACGTCATGAAATTACAAAGGACGCACCGACCAAAGGTTTTTATGCTATTTCAAGTGACTTCAGATATACCATACTTCTTATCCTCTTTATAGTTTGTGTCAATGTTTTTTAGTTCGGGCTGAAAAACCGCATGGGCTGACACTCCACCTTTTCGTCACTATTCTTTTTAAACCAATGATTTTGTAATCATGTGACGAATAAAGGTCATTTATTATTATTGTTATTATTATATATTTAAATTTTTTGACATTTGCTCATTTATGCCTCCAATCCCAGTAATTCTACGCACCTATTAGACATGTTTCACATTTACCCTTATAACTTAGAACGGTAGAGAAATCTTTTCAGCACACGCATTTCTAGATATACTTATGATGGGGTCAGACTGATGTTTGACCGATGGCTGGCGAGTAGCAACGTTACCAGACGGTCGGTATTGTCGGTAGGGTACGGTGTAAATTTCTAGATCACAAGGTTGTCAAATGGATGGAAAATATGGACTAATTGTATAGGCCTGTTTGACTCCTCGATATGAAAAGCAAAATAATGAACTATCATGTCCAGATAGCCATACAATCTGTAAAATTCTAACAATTTTGTAGAAAAATGTTGTAGTTAATGTAAGCCATCTAATATGACTTGGGGGGAGGCAGGATATTTTCCAATCGTGACCACGGATAGTCCATATTTGTGGCAACGCTGGCCGTCGGCATCTAGCATTACACCATCGTAGCTCATATAAAGGAATGAGAATTAACTTTGAATCACTAAGGTGTGACTGTTTCACCCCATGCTGACATCAATTCCTCAAGACGGTCTGAAATAATTTTAAGTGTGGCCAAGGTAGATTTTTTGTAAAAAAAGGGCGACCATTTTGATCAAAATGTGATATCAATCTTAATGCCCACTGATAGCTCGAGGACGCTAAGCGGTAGAGTAAATATGCACACGTTGCAAAATGATTTCTATAAAGTTATCTACTACTTCTTTTAATGGCATTTAGCGACAAATTTAGAAGTGTCAAGAAAATAAGCAAGTAATTTGAATATGATACTTATATGCTAAAAGCATGTTGAATGATATAAGGATGTGTCTTATGCCAACGAAAATACTACTGACGGTCTTTAAAGGAATTGAAACTTTGCAATATTAATGTATAATGTGGTATGCATTTTTTGAATCAGAATTAAATTCTAGCTTAAAATGTCATCTCAAATAAATTCCGGCCTAATGAAAATCATGTTGGGAAAACTATCTATTTACGTAATTCATTAAATACTTTTTTTATATACCGAAGCAATCATAGACACAGGCTTAAATACCGGGGCACCGCGGCTACTATAAGCAGCTTTGGTTAGTCCAGTTTCTGAGCTGTCTAAGGTTACAAGAAGTAGGAAAACCTACCTACACCCTAGGGAGAAACCAGTGGTCGTACAGACCAGTTCTGGATGTACGAAATTCGACTGTATTACTATGAAAACAGAAGTCAGGAAGCTCTGTCTGGCAGGCACATCGCTCGGCGACATAGTGGAGGAGAGCTCTGAGGAGCAACGCCTATTGGCGTAACGGTAGAAAAGAGATCGTCGACGGCTCGCCGCAACAAGGAGCATTTAAGCTTGAAAACCGGTCAAAAATCTTTTATGCGTTCTTTATCATTAAAAATGAATAAAAATGCATGTGTAGTTAAAAAAAGGAATATATTCATTAAAATTAGTAAAAAAGGCAAAAATATTAAAAATTATTTCTATTCAGTTTTGGACTTTATGTATAGTCTTAAAAAAGACTAGTCGTATTAATTCCTATTCAGGATCAGTTTGCACTTCTTCGTCACTTGTTACATTTAGATCTTCCGCTTCTAACAGAGCGAGCGTTTCCGTTGAGAACCGTTGTCTTTTTACTTGCTTCCTTTTTCGCACGCAGCTTAGAAAAGGGTCCGATGTGAGTAATAGTCTGTTTAAAACATCTTGGTTGCACTGCGTTCTGGAAAATTCCCTGCCAAAATCTGTTCTATAAGATCGATAATGCTTGTTGCGGGCTTCTGCAGCCTCCTCCGACAATTGCCCGATAGGCAAGATGGCATGTTTTATGACTGTAGAGCCATGCACAAGAATTTTGTGTAGGGTTGGTGTCATTGGGTGCCATCCGTAGAGGTTGACATACAGGTGTGCAGTTTCTTCACAGTATTGCTCAAATTTTTGAATGTTTATTTTGTATCCAGAAGATATTGTTTCTAAAATAGTCTTGACTTTTTTATGAATTCTATGTCAATACCGGTTATTTCTGCAGCCAGGTCTGGGTCACTAAAAAACCCTCTTGAAGTGTTCCCCGAGCTGGAGTTTCCATAACCGGCTTTTGGCATGTCTATAATCAAACCGGTTTTTTCCCTATATTCCTTTTGGATTCTGTTTTTGTTTTCTTTTACGACTTTTTTTTTCTTCATCTGTACGAGCCTGCCATTTCTGTAGAGGAAGTTTGTAAGATACGTGTAAAATAGTTTCGAATAAACGTATTCTCGCATGTAGAATGGACAAGCCGAATCGTAATGATATGGGATCTTCAGCACTTTTATTTTTTAAATTGTTGAAGTCTTTGGATGTTTTGCCACATATGTAGCAACGCATAGTAGATCTTGTGCCGGTTACCGCATTGCACACTTTAGCATCTACCATTGTGGAAATTAAGGTATGTCAAAAATCAATGTCTCCCTTTGAACATAAGTTTGTTATTTTCGTCACAACCAGTTCTTTAGCTTGATCCTTGACGTATTTTATTTCCTGTTTTGTTACATCCACGGTTTCGTGTAAAAACTGAATACGTATGGGCCGGCAGAAACGCGTGGATGAGGGTGTAGGATTTTGCCATAAAATTTTGATTACCTCTTCTTTGTGGTATTGCAGCCTCAGTGGAACCAAAGAACTTTGGAATAGATTGGCATCGTCACGTGAGCTGTCGGTAAACTTCTGTTGGAACTGTTTCTGTTTCTGTCGACTAGATCCTGAAGTATAACTTCGGCACCCGTTTCAGTAACTCGCATTGACTCTTCTTTCGGATAACAAACTTTTTTTGCCTCTCTGATAAGAGCGTAGCAAGGAAACACGCCTTTATTTGATTCATGTAGTAGCTCCCATTGACTCCTAGTAAAATCGCCTTCAACAAATATCGATAATGCCTCTTCGGGTATGTACTTCTTGATTTTTGTATTTCGAGCCATTTCTAAGGTTTTTTTATACTTTTTTGCTCTTGTTGGCATACAAGTAACATCTCTTATGATTTTAGATGCTGAAGCATTTCCTGACATCCGCTGACTAACGCTAGCTGCATACGTTAGCTCCTCGACAGAAACTTGTTCCAGAAGTCCCTTTGTTTTACGCCGTTTGCTTCGATCTGACAAATCCTGAAAGTCCTTATTTGGCCGACCTGGCTTAGTAGGAGTACGTGTCCAATTATGTACTGATATTGAAACTTTAAGCCATTCGTCGTTATTTTTAGTGAATCGTTCCTCAATATAGAATGCCGACTTCCATCTCTTCTTTAGTTCTGATTTGAAATGCCTCAAGTCGTAACTTATAGTTTGGAATTCCTCTTGTGGACATTTTGTTAATTCCCGAACTTTATTTTCCACGAATAACAATTTCTCATCTAATTTTCGCGCTGAACTCTCCTTAAAAATGTCAAATAAAGATTTCCTTGTCAATTGGATTACATTAGATGGTGCATCTGTAACAAATTAGAAAAAAAATTACATTAATAAAAAAAAACTAAATTTCGCCTCTGTCATTAAAACTGATGTTTTACCGAATTAGTGGAAAATGTGGAAAATAAAATTGTTCTGCAAATAAGGTGGAACTCTAACCTTTATTATAACAACAACTACGTAACTCGATCGGACTCGTAGATACGACAAAAATACCAATTTGTTGAAAAAATTATGTAAAAAAGCAATAATTACGCATGCCCTTAAAGTACAAAAAAAATAAGATAAATATCTTAAATTCAAACTAATTATGGATTAAAATTAATAACATACCTGGTTTTTCACTATCCATGACAAAATTTCTGATAATTTACTTCAAATATAATAAAACAACAAACGATTGATTTTCCGAAATGAGAGCGTGTCGATACCATTGACGTGCACCGCGTACTGGGACTGGGTTCCGACTACCTGCTCACCGAGACGATGAGTTAGGAGTTCGTTTGAAAACCGGTTTACGATAGATCAGTTACTTGACAACAACAAAAATGCGACTTGGGTGGAATAGGGCTCAATTTATATTTTGAACTGTCGACCGATTTTTAAGCTTAAATGCTCCTTAGAGCGCCGGTGCGAAAGGGTCCTAAGACTGTCCGTTAGAAAAGAGCCATCGAACTGCCCTTCTCTGAACAGGATCAAGCATGTGTTATGTGGTTCGGACGGCAGCACCCCAAACGTGTGAGCAGTACTCGAGGCCGGTACTGTCTGCTAGAGAAGATTAATCGATCAGTCGGACAACCCCCCTCTGGACAGCATCAATTGTAAATAGTCGGGGCGGCAGCACCCCAAACGTGTGAGCAATACTCGAGGATAGGTCTTATCTGTGCCTTGTACAGAGTAAGGGAGGTTATATAGGGACTTAGGCCCAAACAAATAGCCTATCTTTTTCCCAGCACCGGCCGCTTTAGACGAGATGTGTTTGTGCCTAATCAAGTCCTCGGTTTTCTGGACTACAGCCAGCCGAGATGGAGAATTTTGTCGTCTATTAAGCACAATGACGCTCCTGGTTAGTCAAGACATAATACTGACTTTTCTGAATTTCAAAACTTTTCATTATCTAGTTCCTTAGTTACTCAAATGCACCGCTTCGCCTCTATCTAATCGGCCCCGTATCTCTCACCGCTTCCAAAATGCCAATTATCATTATCAAACTTTAAACTTCCGGTATCACCAACTCAATCTACTCGACTCTTCTTCTCCAACAGCCTTAGAGCTCATAAAGAAAACTATACAATAGATACTTTAATAGCAGCATCGGCGATATGTAGAACGACCCGAATGACCCCAAATAAATTACCAAAACTGCTATCAGTAACCATATCGTCGAATCCCATATGGCGTTATGGGCCCTAAAAGAAAACGATATAACCCTATCAGCTATTTCAAGAGCATCCCCCTGAAGACGCTGAGTGGTGAGTGCTCTGTGCCTGGGGCGAAACACATCCGGGTTATTTCGTTGGGTCAGGCAGAGGTCGGAAAAGGACATCCGACGATATCTAAAATGATGGATGAGCCTCGAGATGAATAGTAAAAGGAACAAGCAATATTTTTTCCTGCACTTCCGGGATATCGACAGCTGTCATTTTTTGAGGAAGATGGACGCTACTAATACAACTGTTTGAGGCCACGTGTAATCGTGAAAAAAACACCCGCCCAAATCTCTCACGAAGGTGGAATGTACACATACAATTCTAGAGCTGTGAAATGCACCAATAGTGTATTTACAGTCAAAAAAGAAACTGATAAAATTAGTTTTCAGTCATGCATATACACACCGTGGAACGATCAGAGATGTATTAAGAATCCTCCTTCAAGCAGGCTGCTGGAAAAAAGACATGCTGCGTTAAATGCTGCATAGTGCCTATCTACTATACAGTTCGGAAAAGATTCAGTTGAACCTGTAAAGAGAACCACCAATAAGCAAAAGGTGCGTAGGCTAAATTTGTAAATTTAGCTGACACGGAACAGTTGAGATCTGAAGGACAGGAGAAACTATGAATATAAAGGAGGTCATAAGCGCGTCCTACATTAATTTATAGGAACGACTGACGATAATGCGCTTAGACCAGGGAGTAAACATGAATGTGTGAAGTAGCCTCTAATTTCCCTTAGTAATAAAATAGTCCGACGAGAGTATGGTTACTAGTAATGGTGTCTTCTATCGCCACAACACTCATAATCGGGCTCAGGAGAATATGCGGACGAATAAAGTATCCAGACATGAAGAACGATTGGTGTTTAACATGTGGTATGGAATTCTGTGGGCCAAAATGTTAGGTCCAATTATTTACCACAACTCATTAACTGCAGAACGGTATCTTTAGATGTTGTAACACAATCCAGAAGCGATTCTGTGGACGTTTTATTTGAAGTTTTATTAAAAACCAAGTTTATCAGCGTACTTTTGAAACTGAGCAGCAGTTACGAGAATGCGTAGCGGAAGCATTTAGTATGATTAGACAAGAAATGTTACGTGATGTTTTGAATCCTACTGTTAGAAGATCATATTTGAATAAAATAAAAAGAGTGTTGAAAATGTATCCGTTATTCAAAATATCACAAAATTAAAAGCATCATTTTCAAAAATTTTGCCACATCACGTCCTTATCTGATAAATACGTAATATATACTAAGTGACATATAAATCCGAACACCCAGTTTAAATGGTTTTGTTTTAATAAAAGTTGGTGAATGTACTATTTATCTTACTGTAAATAACAAGTGAAAAAATTTTCAGCCTTATCAGTTGGACATTCCGGTTTTATACTGCTTTTTTTTATTCACTAACGCTCTAAAAATGAATATTTCAGCCGCAGTAAACAATCAACGTTGGCGGATTTTGGTTCTTGACATCCTTTACGATCGGTTACGATGCCTAGAGTACGGAGACCTGTACGATTTCGTCAACTTAATGAGTTTGATGGGGACCGTATAGTGGGACTTCGGGAAGCTGGACTTTCTCTCGGGCAATTGCAGTTAGAGTGCAAATAAGTGTAGACACTGTGGTTAGGTGTTGTCAGGCATGGCTTCGAGAAGGCCGTACGCAAAGAGCAAGGGGCACTGGACGCCGCCGTAGAACAACAGACCGTGAAGATCGCCGCCTAAGATTATTGGCCTTAAGGGACCGTTTCTCCACTACCAGGTCCATTGTAAATGAATGGTTTGCAGAACACGGAAGACCTATTGGCATGCGAAGGGTTTACCGACGAATGAGAAGTTTTGACTTGTTTTCATACCGGCCACACTGGGTCCTCCCTTTAACTCGAGAACACCGACGTAATCGCCTTGAGTGGTGCAGACAACGGTCACTCTGGGATCAGGAATGGAACAGTATTGTCTTTAGTGTGACAACAACATAATGCCCGACCACATGTTGCA